ATATGTAAACTTATTTGTCAAGGCGCTCTGTTCCTCCCACACAGCTTAAAAGACGCTGCCATGCTTGGCAGGGTTCACTCCATGCTTGGCAGGGTTCACTCAAGCGCTGTCTTCCGGACAGTCCTGTTTCTTCACCTGAGGAAGGCTACTTGTGTTGTGGCCGAAACGTCGTGAGAATTTTATTCTGTTATTATTTTTATTACTTTATCTCCATTCTACGTGACTTTACTGAAAGAACCCAGAAGATGAATCCCTGCAGTCACAAAAGCTTTAAATCGAAATTGAACTGCCTCTACGGGGAGGGATTCCACATAACCTTGAGATCCTTCAACAAACTCCGGGATAAGAAGGCTCCATTAATCGAGTCTCTCACCTTTCTAAAGAGATGCCGCGACTCTAAGGTAATACCAACCGCATTACACTAACCTCTGCTGCTGGAACTTCTTCTAATGCAAAACGAATTCTATCTAGGACTAGCTTAGCTCTTATCTCAGAAAAAATCAGACTTACGCGCACCGAACTAGATCAGTTAGACAAGACACTCTGCAAATCACACTTATCATTGACGGCAACAATGTCCACATCGGATTGGGAACATGTAGACAATATGACTGCCTCTTCAGCTGCTACTATGTCGACCAAATGTAAGGACAACTTGATTTCCAATTAAACCGCCTCTCCAACAAGAAATCGGACCCACACACCGAAAAGCTAGACGTTAACAAGTCGTTATTAATCGCAGTAACAGTTCTATTTCTGATGGTCTGAAAACCGTTTTAGCTAAAGGACTAAACTTTGCAGTCACACCTAGACACATACCAGTTAATGATATCATTGCCCATGTCGACGTGGCACTCAAGGGCCTGGGCCACATGGCTGCAGATGTAGCAAGATCTGAAATCGCTGCAACCCTCAAAAACGCTAAGCTGCCAGCTAGCAACATTAGCAAAGATGAGCGCTTTGAATTATCTCAATTAAGAAAGAGGGATGACATTGTCATTCTCTCAGCCGACAAGGGCAATGCCACTGTCATCATGGACAAAATAGAATATAACAAAATTCAGAAACTACTCAACGATGGCAGCTACACAAAAATAAGAAGAGACCCCACCAACAGCCTCGTTACTAAAATCAACAAAATCATTTCTTATTCAACAGCATTAATTGATCAAACCAAACAGTTCTCGTTGAAACCTTCTGCGGCCAGGCCACCAAGATTATATGGCCTTCCAAAGATACGTAAAGAAGATACACCCCTTCGTCCCATCGTCTCTACTATCAACTCCCCCACCTACAAACTGGCGCGTTTTCTGTCTGAAATCCTGCGGCCTTTTACTGGAAAAACCACCTCTGCGGTACTAAATTCTACTCACCTGGTTTCGACAATCAAGGGTATTTCCCTGTCCCCAGACGAGCTGCTTGTCAGTTTTGATGTGGTTTCCCTATTCACCAAAGTTCCTGTACCTGACACCATCGCAATCATAGAAGACTTGGTTCATCAAGGACTGCATACTGATGTACCCCCCCTGGTGAGACACTGCTTAACCAACACATACTTCACCTGGAATGGAACTTTCTACAAACAAACTGAGGGCACCCCAATGGGCTCCCCCCTATTGCCGGTTGTAGCCAACGTTTTCATGGAAAAAATTGAGACTGACGCCATCCAGACTGCCACTCTTCGCCCGAGCTTATGGAAGAGGTACGTGGATGACACTTTTGTCATCTGGCCACATGGCCGGCCTGCTCTAGACCAATTCCTCTACCACATCAATTCCATACACCCAGCCATCAGATTTATCATGGAAGTCGAAAAACATGGCAAGCTACCCTTTTTGGATGTCCTAATTAAAAGGAGACCTTATGGTTCAATGAGCCACTGGCTACAGGAAAACTACCCATACGGATGCTTACTTAAAACCGGATTCCCACCATCCATCCCAGAAGAATTCCCTCATCAAGACTCTATACCATAGAGCCAAATGCATTTCCGACCAGGAACACATTGCTAGTGAACTCAAGCACGTACACCAAGCTCTCGAGGCTAATGGTTACTCCGATTACACAATCCGCAAAGCCATCGTTCCAACCATGAAGAAGGATCCTCTTGAGGAGCCATTCAAAACCATCACCTTACCCTACATTGCGGGGGTCACAAAAGATCTCCAAAATCCTGAATAAACACAAGATCCAGGTCCGATTCAACACAGTACATAAAATTCGTGATCTGGTTCCGTCTGTAAAAGATGTGGTTCCAGACATACAGTACCTGGGCGTCTAAAAACTAAGTTGCCTCTGTGGTAGCAGCTACATTGGAGAAACCAAACGACATATCTCAGACCGCATCCGTGAACATAAAGCAGACTTGAAACACGGTAGGACGAACACCTCAGCCGTGGCAGATCACTGTTATAATTCAGTGGGTTCACATGACATTGACTTCTCCAAGACGGAGGTTCTCTGCAAGCCATCCGGCTACCATGAGAGATTCGTTCATGAGGCTATCCACATATACAAACACAGAGACAATTTCACCCGAGAAGATGGACTCCGGCTTAGTAACCAGGAAAGACGTTATAAACCATTTCGGTTCTTGATTGTATTTTACGGTGACTTTCAGACCGCAGTCCATTCGCTTGCACTGCCTCTTAGTACCTTTCACACGACGGTCAATAGTATAGTTTATAGCATGTTGTATAATAATAAATAGTATAACAGTGTAATGTTTAACATAATTCATAAGGCAATATATAGTACCGTAATTGTATAGTGAATATGCAGCAGTGTGGTATACAGTAGGGTTAGTAGAATAATACATAGTGTAATACTACAAGGCTAATATTTTATAGTCTAGAGTATAGGGTAGTGTATAGTAACGCATTGTATAATTCAAAGTTTGGGTTTGTCTATGGATACAATATTATACAATGTAGTTTAGATTGGAAGGTATAATATTGTAATGTACAGTAGTCCAATTTATAGCATAGTTATAAGGCAATACAGGACAGAGCAGCGCACAGTGGCTGTTTCCTCCTCTTCCCCCCCCCCTCCTCTGTTCCGCAAATAGATGGACTCGTCCATCTGAACAAAGCTCGTCGCTCTCCGTGGTGCTAATCCCTCACACCAACATCATGTTAATCCCCCCAGTTACATGCTAATTTATATGTAAACTCTCCCCCCTCCTCCATTCCCACACCAACATCATGCTAATCCCCCAGTTACATGCTAATTTATATGTAAACTCCTCTCCCCCCTCCTCTGTTCCCACACCAACATCATGCTAATCCCCCAGTTACATGCTTATTTATATGTAAACTCCTTTGACAAGACGCTCTGTTCCTCCCACACAGCTTAAAAGACGCTGCCATGCTTGGCAGGGTTCACTGAAGTGCTGTCTTCTGGACAGTCCTGTTTCTTCACCTGAGGAAAGCTACTTCTGTTGTGGCCGAAACGTCGTGAGAATTTTATTTTGTTATTATTTGTATTATTTTATCTCCATTCTACGTGACTTTACCGAAAAGACCCAGAAGATGAATTCAAGGAATCTAGTGTGTGACGGACTACTCGGTATAACGAGAAGAGTCGAGTGTGTGACGGACTATTTGCTATAACGCAAGGAGTCTCGCATGTGATGGATTGCTTGCTATAACGAAAGGAGTCTATCGTGTGACAGACTACTCGCTATGACAAGAGGAGTCTAGCTTGTGACAGACTACTCGCTATAACATTTGGAGCCTAGCATGTGACAGACTATTCACTATAACACAAGGAGTTAGCGTGTGATTGACTGCTCGCTATAATAAGAGCAGTCTAGCATGTGATGGTCTATTTGCCCTAACGTGAGGAGTCTAGTGTGTGACGGAGTACTCGTTATAATGAGAGGATTCTCGCGTGTGACGGACTACTTGCTATAACGCAAGGAGTCTAGCACTTGATGTATTGCTCGCTATAACGTGTGGAGTCTAACGCGTGACTGACTACTCGCCACGACATGAGTCTAGCTCATAACAGATTACTCCCTTAAAGATGAGGAGCCTAGCATGTGACAACACTACTCACTATAATGCAAGGAGTCTAGCGTGTGACAGACTACTTGCTATAATGCAAGGAGTCTAGCGTGTGACGAGCTGCTCGCTATATCGCGAGGAGTCTAGTAAGTTACGGACTACTGGCTATATCTAGAGCATTGTAGGGTGTGACGGACTACTCGCTATAACGTGAGGAGTCTAGCTGGTGACGGACTGCTTGCTATAACATGAGGAGTCGAGCTTGTGACTGACTATTCCCGATAAAGCAAGGAGTCTCGCGCGTGATGGACTCCTCGCAATAGTGAGAGGAGTCTAGTGGGTGACAAACTAGTCGCTATAAAGCGAGGAGTCGAGCTCGTAATAGACTACTTTTCTGAGAGGCTTGGGTGTTGGCAGCGTTCTTTTGTAATGGTTGGAGCTGGTACTGTAGTTCTTTCGTTCTGGTAATTATCAATCTTTATTTTGTTTGCCAATATTACCTTCAATAACTTATGCATCAGTGCACATTGCAACGGAACGGAAACGGTGCAGTCACTACCTATGTACGTATGTCCCCACTGACAAATATGCTTGATGATTTGAAAGTACATGGCTCCTTTCCCCTGGTTTTAAACTCAGGTGTTCAGAGTTTGGGACTAAGGTACGTGTAATTTCTTTACCTGCATCGCGATTTGTGCTATGGACCGGGTTCGTATTGATTTTATTTTTAAATGCTTGGCTCCAGTGGTGCATGGACACAGTAGTAGGTCATGGTGACCAAACTCCTTCTTAAAGTAACATTACAATCGATGCCTCTACAAGTGTCTATATGGGCATCGATAAATGCATTGTCTATTAACCTTATTTGGCACCTTACTAACTAGTGTAGTCGAAGATAATAATATAAAACAGAAACAACCACAAAGCGTGGCTCACTCGCACCATAGCTCCAACCTCAAAATGTGAGTTGTCTCTACAAAAACGGAGACTCACCTTGGGAGTAAAGAGGTACGCGAGTCCGTCGGTCGCTCCCTCCAGCGTGAGTCCCCTCACCAGGAAGCACAGCAGAATCACGTAGGGGAACGTGGCCGTCACGTACACTGCCTGAGCACAACATCACCTAAAATCCAATATCCATACGCGAGTCTGTGGTCTCTTATTGCGCGAGTCGATTGTGTCTCAGTTTGAATCTGTGGGTCTCTGCAAGTATGCTCTTCTTTGTGTGAGTCGGATTATCACAGTTGTCTACGTATGGTGCGAACGAAGTCCAAAATACATACGAGTATATATCCGCGAGAATATGGGTCTCTGTGTGGATCTATTGATATCTGCAATAGTTTATGGGTCTCTGTGTGAGTCTGCATGTCTCCCTGTGCATCTATGCATCCGTGCTAGTCTATGGGTCTCATGTGTGAGGTGACAACCTACGACCAGGTAAAGCCCACTGAGCTATGTAGCTCTTTTTCAGAAGCAACCTGGCCACAAATTATAGGTCAACGAAGTGGCTTATAATTTTCAAATGTATTGCAGCCAAATATCCTAAACGCAGGTTGATTCTAAATGTGTAGTGATAAACTGGAGGACCTGGAGAAAAAGACAAGTCACCACAGGGGGAGACACATACAAACTCCAAATATACAGGCGTCAGGATTGGGATCGAATGCACGACCTCCTGCATACCAGGCGAGAGAGTTAACATCTCGGGTTCATGCGAGTTTATGGGACGGCCTCTGCGTGAATCTTACGTGTCTTGCTGTGCATCTGTGCGTCCGTCTGAGTCCGTGTGTGGGTCAGTGGGTCCATGCGACTCTGTGGGTCTCTGATTGGCGCTACGTGTCTCTGTGTGCATAAGTGGGTCCATGTAAGTCTCTGGGTCAATGTGTGGGTCAGTGGGTCTATGTGAGTCTGGGTCTATGTGTGGGTCAGTGAGTCCGTTTGAGTCTATGGGTCTATGTGTAGCTCAGTGGGTCTGTGTGAGTCTGGGTCTATGTGTAGGTCAATGGGTTCGTGCTTGTCTATGGGTCTATGTGTGGGTCAGTGGGTCCATGTGAGTCTATGGGTCTACAGTGAGGGGAAAAAAGTATTTGATCCCCTGCTGATTTTGTACGTTTGCCCACTGACAAAGAAATCATCAGTCTATAATTTTAATGGTAGGTTTATTTTAACAGTGAGAGACAGAATAACAACAAGAAAATCCAGAAAAACGCATGTCAAAAATATTATAAATTGATTTGCATTTTAATGAGGGAAATAAGTATTTGACCCCCTCTCAATCAGAAAGATTTCTGGCTCCCAGGTGTCTTTTATACAGGTAACGAGCTGAGATTAGGAGCACACTCTTAAAGGGAGTGCTCCTAATCTCAGCTTGTTACCTGTATAAAAGACACCTGTCCACAGAAGCAATCAATCAATCAGATTCCAAACTCTCCACCATGGGCAAGACCAAAAAGCTCTCCAAGGATGTCAGGGACTAGATTGTAGGCCTACACAAGGCTGGAATGGGCTACAAGATCATTGCCAAGCAGCTTGGGTGAGAAGCTAACAACAGTTGGTGCGATTATTCGCAAATGGAAGAAACACAAAAGAACTGTCAATCTCCCTCGGCCTGGGGCTCCATGCAAGATCTCACCTCGTGGAGTTGCAATGATCATGAGAACAGTGAGGAATCAGCCCAGAACTACACGGGAGGATTGTGTCAATGATTTCAAGACAGCTGGTACCATAGTCACCAAGAAAACAATTGGTAACACACTCCGCCGTGAAGGACTGAAATCTTGCAGCGCCCGCAAGGTCCCCCTGCTCAAGAAAGCACATATACATCCCCGTCTGAAGTTTGCCAATGAACATCTGAATGATTCAGAGGACAACTGGGTGAAAGTGTTGTGGTCAGATGAGACCAAAATGGAGCTCTTTGGCATCAACTCAACTCGCCATGTTTGGAGGAGGAGGAATGCTGCCTATGACCCCAAGAACACCATCCCCACCGTCAAACATGGAGGTGGAAACATTATGCCTTGGGGGTGTTTTTCTGCTAATGGGACAGGACAACTTCACTGCATCAAAGGGACGATAGATGGGGCCATGTACCGTCAATCTTGGGTGAGAACCTTCTTCCCTCAGCCAGAGCATTGAAAATGGGTCGTGGATGAGTATTCCAGCATGACAATGACCCAAAACACACGGCCAAGGCAACAAAGGAGTGGCTCAAGAAGAAGCACATTAAGGTCTTGGAGTGGCCTAGCCAGTCTCCAGACCTTAATCCCATAGAAAATATGTGGAGGGAGCAGAAGGTTCGAGTTGCCAAACGTCAGCCACGAAACCTTAATGACTTGGAGAAGATCTGCAAAGAGGAGTGGGACAAAATCCCTCCTGAGATGTGTGCAAACCTGGTGGCCAACTACAAGAAACGTCTGACCTCTGTGATTGCCAACAAGGGCTTTGCCACCAAGTACTAAGTCATGTTTTGCAGAGGGGTCAAATACTTATTTCCCTCATTAAATGCAAATCAATTTATAATATTTTTGATATGCGTTTTTCTGGATTTTGTTGTTATTCTGTCTCTCACTGTTCAAATAAACCTACCATTAAAATTAGGCTGTTCATTTCTTTCTCAGTGGGCAAACGTACAAAATCAGCAGGGGATCAAATACTTTTTTCCCTCACTCTATGTGTGGGTCAATGGGTCCGTGCTCGTCTATGGGTCTATATGTGGGTCAGTGGGTCCGTGCTAGTCTATGGGTCTATGCGTGAGTTACTACGTCCATGTGAGTCTGCAGGCCTCCATGGGGACGCTGCCCACACCTTGCCTGTGCTCTCGATGCCACGGAGCGTGCACAGGTAGACTGCGGCCCACGCCGCCATGAGGCACAGCCCGAGCCACCACTGGATGCCCCCACTCTCTTCCAGCGTGCCAGTCACGTTTAGCGTCTCACGGTACCAGAAGTGGTCCACCGGATGGCTCCGCAAGCACTCTGGCAGGTAATCTGCATGCGGTCAGTTTGACAAACTAATTAAACATTGTCCGGCTCCTCCGATTAAAACTGAACTGAACTATTTTTTTAATGTTACCACGTAAGGGCCCACTGAGCTATACAGATTTTTTTCAGAAGCGACCTGGCCACAAATGAAACCTCAGCGAAGTGGCTTATCATGTGGACATGTATAGCAGCCAAATACTTTAAACGCATGTTTTTTAATGTGAAGGGAAAAACCGGAAGACCCAAAGGAAAATCCACATGACCACGGGGAGAACATGCAAACTCCAAATATCGAGGCATCACGGTCAGGATCGAACCCATCACCTCCTGTATATCAGGTGAGGTAGTTAACATCTCGCCCATATATACGGTGCGATATACGTTCAATATACATTCGCAATCAACAAAACAACTCGACAGGGTCTGTGTGAAAAACACCCATCAACATTCTGGTCAATAGCAGCGTATGGCCTTAGAAGGAAAAAATATAAAATAGCAACATTTTTCGGCAATGGCCCTTCTTTCCTAGCACTTCAACGTGACCTATTACACACGTTTCCTTTGAGTGAGTGAGAATTCTATGAAAAAGGCTCGCGCACCCTGCTCCGCTATCTGCCATGCTTAAGGCAAAAACATTTCGGAAGTCAGGCTTTTTCAATCTTCAAGTGCACTGGCTTGGAGCAACACGTTGGCGAGATGTTAACTTCCTTGCCTGGTATGCAAGTGGTCGGGGAGGGTTCGATCCCGACCCAAACTAAATGTGCAGTGGATACCTACGGGCTATTTTCCCATGGATCGTGATGATGATGAATTTCCACGTGATAAGCAACTTCATTGAGCTATCAATTGTGGCCTCTTTGCTTCTGAAAAAGAAACTAATATCTCGGTGGGGCCTTAACTGGTAAAAGAAAATAGTTTAGTTTTATTTGATTTGAATATATATTTTTAATTATTTGTTTACCTTTCCTATACTTTGCACTTCTATCTTGTTTTTGTATTGTTTGTTGTTGTAATGTTCTGACCCCATGCCCCTGCTCGACATCTGTGAAAAAGAGCTTCATATCTCATCGGATTCCTCCAGTATTAACAAATATACTTATTCTGTATGTGTATTAATGAATGAGTGAGTGAATGAATGAGAGGATCAGAAGTATCCAGTCACCATCTCCTTGCTCATTGAGTGGGCAGTTCTTCCACGGCAGGGGCTCCTCAAATGAGTTGAAGAAGTACCAGAGAATCCACGCGAGGATGGCGTTGTAGTAGACACCCACGAGGAAAGAGATCAGCATGGACGTTATGCCTGCACACAAAGATAAAGACCCCGCCCCCCGTATAGTCTATTAACAGACTGATGTGGCAAGTGCAGTTAGCGAGTAGCACCAATGAAGGTCGGCACGGCACACAAGGGGGTGGGTGGTCAGCACCACGCCCGACTGCCTTTGTCTCCCCAGTGGCGATGTTTACACACTGCACCAGGTACTCGTTTAAGGCTGAGTCTACCTAGAAGACGCCCAGGACCGATTCAGATAATCATTATCACTGGTGTGATAGCGGGATTCAAACTCTCGGGTCTCCAGGTTCCTAGCACAGAGCACTAACCGTTGCACCAACGCTTTCCACGATTGGGATCAAACACAGCAGCAACATCGCCCCCTAGTGAAAAATAAACGTGTCAAGGGAGGTTAATCGATCTAGATGTGAAGCTTTCGTGACTGCAGGAATCCATACTCTCTGGTTCTTTCGGTAAAGTCACGTAGGTATAAAATAAAATTAAATCACGACGTTTTGATTGCAACACAAGCAATCATCATCAGGTGGGAAAACCACAGCAAGAAAGATTATTTTTTTATCGGTTAAATGCAAGATATGTGAGATGGTCGCATGTGAGCCGTGGTACCATACCTAGGCCTCCTAGCAGTGGGTGAATGGCATTCCACACTCCCACGCTGCCTTGCCTCAGCCTCTGGCCGATGGCAAGCTCCAGGTGGATGATTGGTATTCCCTCCACCACCAGGCAGATGAAATATGGGATGAGGAATGCACCTGTATGGGGGAGGGGAAGTGATTATCCACTGTGCTGAATGAACGCCTGAATTCAGTCAACATTAGAATTTTTATTAATAAGAGTTCAAAATAAATTAGTTTTTTATAGCAACGTCATTCATGTTAATTGCATCCCCAACGCTGTACATTAATTTATATATTTCCAGGCCAAATCATCTTGTTTGTAGCAACTATTGTTTATGGGCACCGCGTTGCCAAGATGTTAACTACCTCGCCAGGTATGCAGAAGGGCATGGGTTTTATCCCGACCCTGATACCTGCTGTATATTTGGAGTTTTCGTGTCTCTCTTGATCTCTCTCTCCCTGTGGTCGTGTGGATTTTTCTCCGGCTCCTCTGGTTTTTCCATCCACATTTAGAATCAACCTGCATTTAGCACGGTTAGCTACGTATGGTTCGAAATAAGTTCAACATACATAATCAGTTTTTATCTGCTATTAATTTCCACAAGAGCTAAATAGCTTGTGAAAAAGAGCTGTATAGCTCAGTGGGCCTACAGAGTAAAATAAAAATAGTTTAATTAGTAAATGAGAACCCTCGGGAAAACAGTTAATTAAAAAAATGGCACCAAAACATATGAGATAGAAACAACAACAAAACAAACAACAACAACAAAACCGAATTGTACAGTGTGGTCCAGATGTATTGTTACCTCAAATTAATGGACCCCTTCATAATAAAATGGGGGGTTTATTGCGTTAGATCGCAAAAATAAAAATGTTGCGGGCTTACCTTCCAATACACCGGTGTGCTGAAGCAGTAACTAATTGGCACGTTTTTTTTTGACAAAACTTACTAATTGGCTGTGTCGGGTGGTGGTGGGTTAGTGACACATTTATACTTCCGCGATCTTACCCAAAAACAACCATTATTATGAATGATATTGGTCGTGAAAGCCTGCATGTTAAATTAATTGACTCAATCTTGATTTGAAGCTTTGGTGATTGCAGGAATCCATACTCTTTGGTTCTTTCGGTAAAGTCACGTAGGTAGAAAAATAATAGATCATAAAGTTTCGATTGCAACACAAGCAATCGTCATCAGGTGGGACAACCGCAGCAAGAAAAAACTGCTGAAGTAGGCAAGAGATCTGCCGTGGCACGAGGTTATATATTGAATTTATTCGTCAAATTTTTTTCAATTTCATATCCATTTCTGTTTTAAATAAACCTGACTTAAGCAATATGACGTTTTAAATAATTAAATGGGTGTCACAAGACATCTGGAGCACTCTGTAGTGTCGTCCTACGTAGTGCTGAGTGGATCTTGTGGCAGTCCCACATCGCTCTTTCTCATATATACTCCCACCATCGCTCTCGTAACTAAAGACAAGCTTCAGTAAGAATTATATTCTGAATTTAGCATAACCTATGTTCTTACTCCTGTTGTATATAGGCCTTTTTTCAAAAACTCATTAAGAATAATTCTGCCAATATTGTTTTTTAATAATCGATTGGGGTGAGCATTGGGCATGAAAGGGTGAGGCACACCCCTCCCCTCACACCCAGTTGCCTTGCCACATTAAAGCAACCACTGCGCCACAACTCCCCCCCCACACACACAGTGCGCTACTGCGCTAACACACACACAGAGTGAGCTCACCACTACACCACCACTTACCCCCCCACACACATTGCGCTAACCACTGCTCCACCACTCCCATCACACATACACCGTGCGCTAACCACTGGGCCACCACTCCCCCTCCCACATACACAGTGCGCTAACCACTGCACCACCACTCATCCACCCCCCTCCCATGCACATTGCGCTAACCACTGCGCCACCACTCCGCTCACACAGTGTGCTAACCACTGCGCCACCTTTCCCCCCCCCACACACATAGTGTGCTAACCACTGCGCCACCACTCCCCTCACACACAGTGTGCTAACCACTGCGCTACCACTCCCCTCACACACAGTGTGCTAACCACTGCGCCACCACTCCCCTCACACAGTGTGGTAACCACTGCACCACCACTCCCCCCCCCAGTGTGCTAACCACTGCGCCACAACTCCCCCCCCCACACACACACAGTGTGCTAACCACTGCGCCACCACTCCCCTCCCCCCACACACATTGCGCTGACCACTGCTCCACCACTCCCATCACACATACACAGCGCGCTAACCACTGGGCCACCACTCACCCCCCCCCCCCCCCATGCACATTGCGCTAACCACTGCGCCACCACTCCTCCCACACACACACAGTGCGCTAACCACCGCGCTACCACCCACACACAGAGTGAGCTGACCACTGCACCACCTCTCCCCCCACACACAGTGCGCTAAGCACTGCGCCACCATTCCCCACCCCCCCCCCCCCCATGAACAGACTGCGCTAACCACTGCACCACAACTCCCCCCCCCACACACACAGTGTGCTAACCACTGTGCCACCACCCCCCTCCCAACAACACACACTATGCTAACCACTGCGCCGCCACTCCCCCCCCCCCCCCCACAGTGTGCTAACCACTGCGCCCCCCCCCCACCCACACACACAGTGAGCTGACCACTGCACCACCATTCCCCCCCCCCCCCCACACATAGTGTGCTAACCACTGCGCCACCACTCCCCTCACACACAGTGTGCTAACCACTGCGCTACCACTCCCCTCACACACAGTGTGCTAACCACTGCGCCACCACTCCCTCACACAGTGTGGTAACCACTGCACCACCACTCCCCCCCCCAGTGTGCTAACCACTGCGCCACAACTCCCCCCCCCCACACACACACAGTGTGCTAACCACTGCGCCACCACTCCCCTCCCCCCACACACATTGCGCTGACCACTGCTCCACCACTCCCATCACACATACACAGCGCGCTAACCACTGGGCCACCACTCACCCCCCCCCCCCCCCCCATGCACAGTGCGCTAACCACTGCGCCACCACTCCTCCCACACACACACAGTGCGCTAACCACCGCGCTACCACCCACACACAGAGTGAGCTGACCACTGCACCACCTCTCCCCCCACACACAGTGCGCTAAGCACTGCGCCACCATTCCCCACCCCCCCCCCCCCCCCCCCCATGAACAGACTGCGCTAACCACTGCACCACAACTCCCCCCCCCACACACACAGTGTGCTAACCACTGTGCCACCACCCCCCCTCCCATCAACACACACTATGCTAACCACTGCGCCGCCACTCCCCCCCCCCCCCCCCCCCCACAGTGTGCTAACCACTGCGCCCCCCCCCACCCACACACACAGTGAGCTGACCACTGCACCACCATTCCCCCCCCCCCCCCCCATGAACAGACTGCGCTAACCACTGCGCCACAACTCCCCCCCCCCACACACACACAGTGTGCTAATCACTGTGCCACCATTCTCACCCCCCTTACAAACAGTGCGCTAACCACTGCGCCACCACTCCCCCCCACACACAGTATGCTAACCACTGCGCCACCACTCCCCTCACACAGTGTGCTAAGCACTGCGCCACCACTCCCCTCACAGTGAGCTAGCCACTGCACCACCACTCACCCCCCACACACTGTTCGCTAACCACTGCGCCACCACTCCCCACACACCCACACACACAGTGTGCTAACCACTGTGCCACCATTCTCACCCCCCTTACAAACAGTGCACTAACCACTGCGCCACCACTCCCCCCACACACAGTGTGCTAACCACTGCGCCACCACTCCCCTCACACACACAGTGTGCTAAGCACTGCACCACCACTCCCCTCACACACTGAGCTAGCCACTGCACCACCACTCACTCCCCACACACTGTTCGCTAACCACTGCGCCACCACTCCCCACACACCCACATACTTCACTCGCTCACACAAATTCCACAGAAAATCTCCCAAGTTGGAAGTCGAACCCAGGGTCCTCCTTTGCCGTTCGGTGTATCGGTTACCACTGCGCCAGCCTCATAAGAACAATGTCAACTTTCAACGTACCGCAGTCTCCACCCTCTGTCGCACAGAGAGACAGGAAGAATAATAGTCAGTTTAATGCGAAGGAGTCGGCTTTTGCGACCAACATCCATAATAGTGTTTTGGGTTAGATCGCGTCAATTCAAATGTGCCGTTCAACACATCATCACCTTTACTCGATTTAAAAACAGGAAGACTTCACAATTTTGGCAAATCGCCTGATGAGGCTGGTTGTTGTAATCACCAGTAAAACCCCACGGTACTCGAATTGTAAATGTTTACTCTCCAACGCACCGGTGTGCTGAAGTAGTCCCTAATTGGCATGTTTCCTTTACGCGACAACCCTTACGAATTAGCTTTGTCTGGTGGTGCCGGGTTGAACGACACGTTTATACTTACACGATCTAACCCAAAGAAAACCCTATTATGGAAGAAGAATAGTGCTAGATACAGTAGCCGTATTTGCACATATGATCTGCAACTTTAATCCTTACTATTGCTACATTTTTTGACGTAGAATTTAATTTGAGGGACTGTGTGTGTACTTGTATGGATGTTGAACTTCTTTGGCACCATACGTAGCCAACCGCGCTAATCGGAGATGCTGGCGAAGGACAACAAACTAAACACAAAAAGCAGTTCAATTTAGTGTAGTGGTGCAGTACAGTGAGTGAAAAAAATATTTGATCCCCTGCTGCTTTTGTACGTTTGCCCACTGACAAAGAAATGATCAGTCTATAATTTTAATGGTATGTTTATTTGAACAGTGAGAGACAGAATAACAGCAAATAAAATCCAGAAAAACGCATGTCAAAAATATTATAAATTGATTTGCATTTTAATGAGGGAAATAAGTATTTGACCCCTCTGCAAAACATGACTTAGTACTTGGTGGCAAAACCCTTGTTGGCAATCACAGAGGTCAGACGTTTCTTGTAGTTGGCCACCAGGTTTGCACACATCTCAGGAGGGATTTTGTCCCACTCCTCTTTGCAGATCTTCTCCAAGTCATTAAGGTTTCGAGGCTGACGTTTGGCAACTCGAACCTTCAGCTCCCTCCACAGAT